CGACTCCGAACGGCGATTGTATTTTTATGAGAAGCTGTTTTTCATGGCAGAAATACACTCGGGTGTTAGCCATTGCCTGCCGAGGGACGACCGCTGTTAAGAAAAAACCTTTTTTCTATATTTTTGCGATGTTGCTTTGACCAGGGTTTGAACCCAGGCATTGTGGAGTGGAAGCGCGCACTGCTTACCACTACACCACAGCGGCCAATTTTCGGACTAATTCCGCGAAAAAAGTACGTAAAAAATTAAAATAGCATTTTTGTATGTAAGTATATATGTAAGAATAGAATTTATATCTAAAATTCCGTGCCTAATGGGTTTGGGTCGTGCCGGGCCATTTCGGCACGGAGACCACACCGATTTTTTCTCTGTGCATGCTCGTGTGGGCTTTCTAATGTGATTATTGCACCCGCTCAGGACTGGGCCGCAAAATAATTATACCCCTGCCTATATCTAATAAGAGATAGCCAGAACTTTTCCAAAAATCTATCTATTTTTTGTTGTTTTGTATTTTCTCGTATTTAGTATCTAAGATGTTTCGAAAATATTTTCGGATAATTTCAAATCAATTGAATTAATTAATAGCCTCCAAAAATTTCAGATAATTAGTGAAGCGTTGTGTTTATTTTTTTATGATTTCACAGCCGGTTACCAATATATAGAACGACTCAATCAATTTGAATAAAATTCATGCAGCTATTGAAAGCATCAAATAAGTACATTGCTATTTTTTGAAGGAATTTTTTTTTTGTTGAAAATTCTTCTATTTATTCTTTAACAGTAAAATATTATTTTGTGCTTGAAAATTTTATTTGACGGTGGTTGATTCCTCTGAGTTTTCTAAGACACTGCTTAAATGGAGTTATTGATTTTTTTTGTATGGAACTCCCCATATATGTACATATGTAAGTCGATATGTATTTTGCTTATACTCAACGCATGTACCTTCATACATATGTATGTATGCATGTACATATTTACTTCTGTAAATATTATTGGTGTAAAGATTTCTTTGAAGAAGGCCACAGGAAAATCAGATAAGATAACATTGGAATTTTTTGCTCATACATACATACACTTGTACGTGCATACACATCCGTTTTAATATTATTTAACCTGACCAAATGCTTGCCTTGCATAAGCAAACTCAATCAACCTAAATAAACACATTTATTAACAATTTTTTTTTCTATATATTTACATTTATTTTAATAGCTTCAATATTATATCTGCTCTTTTATTAATTCAATTAAAAGAACTTAATTAAATCCGCAAAAAAAAACAAAAATATATACAATAAAATGTGGATAAAAAATATTTGTAAACCAGTAGTCAGAATATTAAGTCAACATAAATGACTGATAATGACTTGGTCCACCACCCAGAAATCATATTTCTAATATGTTTCTAAAATGTTATCAACACTGCCGACAAAAAAGTATTGGCACAGCTGCTTTTTTTCCAATGTATGCAACAATTTTTATTGTAATATTTTTCCCATTTCCCACAACAAAAAACATAAAATTATAATTTCTAAACTTTGTGCAAAACACTTGAAAATTCAGCAAATTTTAAACTTTTTAATAAGATGTTTTAGAATTTTTTTGAGTATGCAGTTTTGTAGCCCAATCAAATTTATAAATATAAAAATATAATATAAAGTAGAAGTTATAAGTAGCTATTAACTACCGTTGATTTTTGGCAATTTTTTTACGCAGTCTCGTCCATACAAAAAAAATTTTTTCGAAAATATTTTATATAGAAAAAATGCAGAACACTATCAACAAGGAAAAATCTCATAAATGAATGCAATTTTCGACTAACTCCGAACTTGCATTTTTTATACTCGAATTTAATGGGCTACAAAACTGCTTACCCAAGAAAATTCTAAAAAATCTAAATTAAAAAGTGGAAAATTTGCATGAAAATTTGCTGAATTTTAGCGAGTTTCGCACAAAGTTTAGAAATTATGTTTTTATGGGTTTTGTTGTGAAATGGATAATATTTTGATAAAAAATTGGCGAAAAATATTAGAATAAAAATTGTTGCATATATTGTAAAAATGCAGCCGTGCCAGTACTTTTTGCCGGCAGTGTACAATCTCACGTCAAAAGTTTTGCCATACAACGAAATCTGTTGCATATTGAAATGATACACAAAACATATTGCCCCAAAAAAATAATCGAGTATTGCCTCAAGACAGTCATTCCGTGCCACAGCCAGCATTTTTTTGTTTAGTTTGCTTAATTGATTTAGGTTGGTTTTTAGAGAAGCAAGAGTAAGTAACTTTGAACTTTTCAATGGAGGTGTTCGCACTAGCCTGGTTATCAGGTGATCTCGTTGCAAATTATTATTTTATAGTGTTTTTTATTGTTGTAAACTCAATAGAAAAATAACCTCTTAACCAGATAACCTGATAACAAGATAGGTTTCAACACCCACAATATGAATTTACTACTTTATGGGGAGCGCTTCACTACACCCTACAAGTTTTAAGATCTAATTCTAGCTAAATTTATGGAAAAATTTCTGAATATTAGAAACAAGGTAATCAATTCCGTCAGTTCACAGCAAAGGAATTTATAACTTTTTCAATTCCTCAACTTAAAAAAAAAATGTTCTTTATTCCATTACAAGGAATTGAATATTGTAATTGGAATTAGTTATGTGTTAGTAATGTATTTTTTTCAATTCCCTTGAAGGAATTGAGAGTGAAATAAACTTTTTTCAATTCAGTTGAACTGAATTGGAAAATAAAATTTCCAATTCCATTAATTTAAAAAGTATGTAATCGAAAAAAAATTTTAAATAATTTGTGGACTATTTATTCAAGTTCTTAGTTGCTAAAAGCCTTGAATACATAATTTATACCTAAATAGGATCACTACACTGAGGGAAATAATGCATAGTAAAAATGAATACTTTATATATGATTACGCATATTTCATTTTCTGTACACTAAATAAATAAATAAATAAATAAAAGAAAAATAGAACTGTCGCAGTAAAATTACAATGCAACTAATAAAATTGCAAGAAACAAGGTACAATAAAAAAAAATTTCAAAGGAATTGGAAAAAAGTTACAATAATAGCACGTACATAATTTATTCCAATTACCATACGCAATACCTTGTAATTGAATTAAAAAAAAAAAATACATTTGAAATTACTTCCGAATTCCTTTGCTGTGGACTGAAGGAATTGATTTCTAATCACTCTTAGTGAGGAATGTAATTGCAATTGTAATGAGCAGAAGAATGTTACTCATACGCCATGTACGACGAGTATGGCCATATATTTTTTCATTCAAAATGAAAACTTAAAATGAAAATATCTTGGATTTTTGAGGAAAAAACGTAAAAACTCCTAAATACCCGGTTTTTTTAAAAGTTCCTGACTACAGATTCGAACTCAACGTCTTGGAAAAAAACATATAGGAACAAAGTGGTGTCCAACTTGACCAAAGCGTGAGCGTAGTTTTGTCCAGCTAGATTCGGATTTCAAACCATGGCGCGCCGCCTCCGAACGGCATATGGTTTTAATGAGAAGCTTTTTTTTCATGGCAGAAATACACTCAGAAGTTTGCCATTGCCTGCCTAGGGGCGACCGCTATTAGAAAAAAAATTGTATCTGGATGTTGCGTTGACCAGAGATCGAGCTCTGAACCTACCGAATGGTAGTGCGCACCTCTAACCACTCGACCACGGCGGCTGCCAGTCCACACGAGCTTTTGAGAAAAAAAAAACGACGAAATAGTACTATACAACCCTTCTATGATGGCGGAACCAACGCTTCCGCTTACGCGCTACTATCGCCCGCACGCGTCCACAGATCTCTCGCCATGCATCCTTACACGCACACACACACACACATTATGAACAAAACACTTGACATCACACTTGGCCATTAATCTCGAAACCCGATCTTTGGAAACAAATGATTATCATATTCAGGCTCTGCGACCCCTAGTCAGTCTATCATTAAAAAAACAAAGTCGAGTTTTGTCCGTTTTTTTTTTTTTCAAAACTACTGTCAGAGGCACTTATAAGCAAGCATTGATGATATGATTTTCGCGCTTTAATCCCATACGAGTTAACTAGTTATTGTCGTCGTAGTTAAAGTCGTATATTTTAGCATTTTTCTTTTCTTCTGGTAGCGACAAAATTCTCATTAATTGCTACATACATATAAAAATATATAAATAAATGTATCCCAGCAGCGAAACTATGAATATAATGCAATCGCATTATAATATGCATGAATTGCTTCTGAAATCGAATGAATTCCATTGCATATTTGAAAAGAAAAAGAAGGCAGTTTAATCAAATGCCATCACTTGTCACCGATGAGGCATCAATGCAGAATTCATTACATTTGCTGCTGGGATAATACTGCGTAATTTAAAGTGTAGTTGTTCTTACACACTCACCTCTGCCACAATGCTGCTATTAGATTTTAAATCCGCACAACTGGGATTATCGCTGGAATCGCACACAAAGCATTTTATCGCTGCACCTGAGATTATGCCAAATTTTCGAATTTAACACAGACAAATGAGAAATGCAGAAGAGATATGTAATAGAGTAAGAGTAGTTAAGCAGATTAAATGATTTAATTAGTAGTTATTTTTTTTTGTTTTAGATTAATTTGAATGTACTCAATTATGTAATACACTTTATTTGTTTATTTGTAGATAAATAAGTAATTGTTTGATTTTTTAAATATTTGGTTATAAGTTTTTAACACAATAATTGCAAAAAAAAAAAAAAAAATTAAAAATTAGTTCACTTAAGCACAAACAAGTATTGAATTTGCAATCGAATAAGCAATGCATAACTTAATTTGAACACTCGAATGGCCAAATTTTTTTAAAGACATTCTTGATCTGCTCGATCTTGGTAGTTATCTAGCGATTTTTTCACATACCCATAGATGCTGGTAAATTTATTCAAATACTAGTAAAAATTTGGTTAAGATCAATGGACTAAAATCATGGAGACTAAAATTAGTATTAAAATGCACCCATTAAATTTTTTGAATTTTCCTGCTGCCACCCCCATATTTACCCATGCCCCCGTAGCTTTGAGGTTTCTAAACTAAAACTATAACGTTTACTTAACTTTAAAACTTTACCAAGTAAGTATGTTTTAATAACCGATAATCTTTTCTCAACAAAAATTTTAGATTTTTTTTTTACTTCTATTCGATGTTTTTTATAGGTTTGTTGTAAAACATTTTGAAATATCGACGGCTAAGTTGCAGATCGACCTATCTCTGCAGCCGGTTCGAAAACGCCCTTATCTCAGAAAATGGCTCAAGAACGCCCTGGGAAAAAAACGATAGGTTGTGCAATTTTCTAGAGCGCTTCCTCTTTCACAATTGCACAGTTTTATCACCCAAACTAGAAGGCTGGCCATCGTTTGCAATTCATTAGGGAAAACGAACAGGACACAGTAAAGCCTCTTCTTTGCAGATATTCAGCTTTAGTGAAGAGCAGTTAAATCATACCAAGAGCATATATGAGGCATCCTTTTTTAAATAGGGACGCAAATTTGGAGGAGTAACATCGATACATCGAAAACATAAATATCGATGCTAAAATGTATCGGCAGAAAAAAATCGTTACAGCGATGGTTTCCGATGCTTTACAATTTACAATGCAATTAGAGAAATGGCATATATATGAATTCATTTTCCACTATTTATTTCAACTTCCTATACTTTCCTATAAATACTTATATAAATAGTAGTAATGTAGAGTAAAAATTCATACTATCGTTAGGCCGCCGGGTTCGAAATTTATAAGGCCTGATTTTGTTTGAGATTCTAAGACCCTGCATAATGACTATTTTCTATCACAGGCGGGTGGTACGTTCTTTTTTAAGCGTTGGGCTAGCATTCTCAAAATTGGACACCAAAGAATGAGTAATAAAAAATTTTTGAAAAATAATTGTAAACATCGATGACAAACATTGAATTTTGAACCGATACCATCGATATTTCAAAAATATTGATGCATCCTTTGCATCCCTATTTTTAAGTCGGACGGATTTTTTATTATGGATCCTTTCATGAAATAAGTTAACAGGTTTTTTTGTCTTTTTTTTTCTTCGAGATATGATATGTCAAAGTTTAATTTCTTTGTGATTCTGTTCAATTGTATACTTCGCCAAATCGTTATATCTCGGATTCTACTCAACGCAACGCCTTCGTCTAACGTCGTTTTTTAAGCTAGAGAAACGGGATAAATAATTCTATGTGTAAGGTGCTCATGATTGTCCTTAAGCTATTTTAGTTATAAATAATTGCATTTTTTGAAGTTTATTTACATAGTGAAGACCAGTAAATTAGGGATCTAAAATCACATCATCGTAATCCTTAACTAACTATAAAACCCATGTTTTAAAAAATTGGCAATTTTTCAAGAACAATTTTTAAAATATTTTGTATGACGAGGTGTTTTTTTTTCGAAAACGTATGATCAGATATACATACATATGTACATTAGGACGGGCCAATTTTTGTTTGACTATGCGCCTATAGCGCAGGAGGATTCTACGTGTAATTGTAAGCAAATTTTCCGAAGAAACCATGGGTCTAAAATTAATTTGGAGTTTGCCAAATTGCCAAAATAGTTTTCAAGGAAATGTGAAAATTTCACCGTTGCGCCCTCTGGTGGAAGTTTTAAGCAAAAGATAAGTGCATAAATGGATTCCTCACAGCAAAAAACCAGTTATGGCATGTTTTTATACAAAATTTAAGCACTTCTTTACGACACTACGGCGAAATGCTAGAAAAGCTATTTTCGCAATTTGGCAAACTCCAAATTGATTTTAGACCCATGGTTTCTTCGGCAAATTTGCTTACAATTACAAGTAGAATCCTCCTACGCTATACGTTCATAGTCGAAAAAATCTCCCATACAAATAGACCCGCCCTAATGTACATACTACAATAAGTGCATTGTACAAAATTATTGTATTTTTTACAAGCCACAGTTTTAAAAGCTGCAAAGATAGAAGGCAAAAAATCTCCATACAAAAAATCGTGGTTTTTAGACACTTCAGCAGCGCGTTGCCCACCCCTAAAAATGCTTATATTTTTTAATCCTTTGTACAATACTCAGGAAGTGAACTTTATAAAAACCGCATGATCCTGATAACTGACTATGAAATATTTCCGGCACTGCTCAAAAATATATATATATTATAGTCGATTCTCGAAAGTATTATTTTAGTCTAATGCTCGCGCTCACTACTTAAGCTACGACAATGTTACGCATATTTTTTAAAATCCCATAAAATGCGAATGTGCAGGGAATTGCGAAAGCTACGATTTGGGGTCCAGATAAGCCATACTTATCAATTTTATCAGTTTGTAAAGTTTGAATTATTATTTATAAATTATAAATAATTTAATTATTTTAATTTAATTTTTATTTCAAAAAACTTCAAACATATTATTACTCCACCAATTTTTTATTTTTTTTTTTTAATTTTTGACTCTTTTTTGTACTTATCAATCACATCTTCTGAGTTTTTTTTACGATATTTTATCAGTGCGAGTATATTTCCCCAAAACGTTGTTCTTCAGTTTATTTTTATTTTATTTTAAACTATGTGCGCGTATGTATATAGCTTTCAAAAACTCCAAAAATTCCTTTTGAAATTCCACTAACCGTTATGCACGCATTGCAACACCAAGATGACCGTTATGATAAGCGAATGCAGCACACTTGTAGGCGCGTCGTAGTACCGGCACATTGTTATCACTTTAGAAATCGAAATTTCACTAACTATAGGCCACAAAAGAATTTTCACAATTTCATTCGAGCTCTCAACTAACGGTACTTTATTTAATGCTTTTATTGAAAAAAAAAATCTCAACTTTTAATAAAAGTATAGCACACAAAAGTATGCTACTATAAACGAGCACTTTTTGCACTGCGACCCACTGAGCAATCCAGCGTTTAAAGTCGCTTCTTGGCTTCGTAACGTTTCCGCGTTTCGTCCGTATTTATAATCCTTTAGGTGCCACAGCGTTTTGCAAACTGAACTCAATAAAAGCGAAATTCCAGCTGTTAGCGAACGTAGACCAGTCGGGTCAACAACGTACACTCGTACCCCAACCGAAGCGGTGTAGGCGAGTCCTTTCGGTTATGGCACGAAGTTGCCACAAATTTGCAAAAGTAGCAACTAAGTAAGTAAGTTGCAAAGCGAAGAAGTATGAAACAACTTTAACAATGATTTTTGTTTTTGTATCAGCAGCATTAAGGAATTGCTTGCGCTTCCAGCTATGCTAAGAATGAAGACGAATGAATGTGCCAAGGCAAGGCGAGGGGTGGTGTGGACAGCGCAACGCGGGAAAGCGCAAAACGACGATGAGCGTTTAAAAGTCGCTGTGGGAGTTATTAAATTTGCCACAGACGCTGCCACTGCCAGCCATCGAAGAAGGAGTCAGCAGCAGCAGCAAGTATGATGACGCGGCGCCAACAACAATCAACAGCGTTGACAACAATAGCAGCAGCAGCAGCAGCAGCAGCAGGAGTGGTAGCAGCGACGTCGGATGTTGCGCGAAAATAAAGTCGAAAGCGATGAATTTATGTCGTTTATGGTGACGTCGAAGTTGACAAACAACAACGGCAAACGGCATTGTGTGTGTGTGCAGCAACGGGGGGAGTGGCGACAATGCGAGGCAACGCGCGCGCCTTTTTGTCGATGACTGTGTGTTTGTGCAACGAGGCAATGGAAGTCGCAAAATTGTTTCAAATTAGAAAAGTTAGCAAAGTTAAGTGTATAAAAGTTAACGCCGCATTGTATGGCTTCGTGCGCGGCTGTGGTATTGTGGTTGCGAGCTTGTGGCTTTGGCAATGGCAGAGGGGTAGGTGACGACAACTACGATTTGATGACGTTTGTTGGCACATTCAGAGTATGCAACAAAGGCGATTGTCTATACTTGAGTTGTATGAATTCAATTATATGCAATCTACATATATACCAAGTCGACAAATTAAAAGAAAAAATTGTACTCATTTTGGGACTTTTAAAGCTAAAGGCCCACTGTGCTGGTATCTTTGCTTCTTGAATGGAAGGAATGGCCGGATTACAAGCCTTCATATTCACTTCCTCTTAGAAGAAGAAAAACATACATACAAATTTAACTTTGCGCTACACAAGCAACGACGAAATTGTTTTGTTAAATGTTACTCATACGACCTGTCATACTTACGAACTCTGCCATAGGTGGCCCAAAGCCCGGTTTCAAAAGAAAGCAAGGGCGACATAAAGTGTAGCAGTAGGACGACGAAAATAATTCCCTTGGCGATATCCGTTGCACCCGTTCGCACACTTAGGTAATTGAAAGCGTACCGATGCACAGTGTGGCGGAGTCGCTGACCGGTGATACAAATATATTAAACCTAATTAATGGACATGTAACCGTCTTTATAAGGCGTTTTCGTCCTGATTGAGAATCTGAACTTAAAATGGTAATTTGTGAAGAGGGTTGCCACCTGTTGAAAAGTTTAAAAGCAACTTAATTAACAAGTGAAACGAAATATTTGAATATTGGTGTCTAAACGAGAGATGTTGTTTAAAAACGCTTTATTTCTAAAAACGTTTGAGGAGGGTTGCCACCTGTTTAGAAACTAAAAATCAATTTAATTAACATGCCGATGAATTATTTTAATATGGGTGTCAAGCGAGAAGGTTTAGAAAACTTGATTTTAAAAAGATTTTTGAAGAGGGTTGCCACCTACTATTTAGAAATTCAAAACCAATTAAAATAACAACTAATATGACATACTTGAATATGGGTGTCGGACAAGAGAAGTTTAGAAAGCTTTATTTCGTACACATTTTCTAAAATGGTCACTGAAAACACATTTTCGTCCAGCTTAGAAGAGGGTTTTCCTTATTTTTTTGCTAAGAAAACAACTCACACAATTATCCTATTCAGTTCGTATTGCACTAATTCAATTTTAACTTACACGCACTGAATCCGGGGAAACGCGTAAATGCCTCGTAAGCTTGTAAACCTCGTAAACTTACTTAATTTTGTATGGAAATCGGTTTATTTACAAAGTTTACGCGACTACGAGGCAACCATTTTTGCCTTAGTGTGAGTTCGCCGGAACGAAACGAAGGGAGTCATGAGAGGTTTCTTATAGGCAAGAACGTTCAGTGCTCACAGCGAAAGCTCCTTAAGCGACTGATATTTATTCCCGAAATCTTATCAGGAGGTATAACGTGGCCAAAAAGATTTTGTCACCTTGCATTCCAAGATCTTCGCCCAGCGCTTGCCAAGCTCACTAAATGCCCGCATGTCCAGAAGTACACCGCACGAGGTCAGAGGAGCATCCAGACTTTCTCTCTCAAGGGTTTACTGTCACACCAGCCCATCAGCTATGCCGTTTCCATCGATTTTGCTGCCACCGGATCCCAATAAGCTTAATAGGAAGTAAAAAAAATCCTCCAAATTTCTCAAACGAACCTTCAAGGAGCCAAGAGCCTTGATATCTGCTTTGCTGTCGGAATAGATATTCACCTTCTTAAAAGGCGTTAGACTAGAAATTTTAAAAATTGATTTTGTGCAAAGGATAAAAGCTATTTTTTATCTGTTCGGTATGCATAAAAAGCGAAGTAAATATTTAAATACATTTTTACTGCTGATTGTTCCCAAGAAAATCTGAAAAGTCTCGAAAAAAGTCCCATTTATTTCAAAATAGCGAGAAAATCACGAAACGTCGAATAAAATTAAACACAAAGAAAACCCCCATAAAACTTCCGAAAAAATTCCAAAAGTATCCGAAGAAACCCGAAAGGAATATAGAAAATTTAATTTCTTTTAATTTGACATATCATTTGTTTTGATCGGTTAACAAATTCTCTTGATATTAGCAAATTTTAATGATCAACCTATTGTTTTAATCAAAAATCGGTATGTGGGGATATCTCGAAAACTATTTGACAAAAAAGTAATGTGAATTTTTGGACGCAGCCACCAATTTTACATGGGAATTGGATGGTTTTATTCTCGCATTTATGGGCTGTAAACTAGTGTAATCATTATTTATTTAGCAAAAAATAATTTTTTTTAGGCGATGGGAAAACATATTTATATAAATAATGGTATTCTCGAAAAAACAGTGCGACACTTTTTTTACTATAGCTTTTTTTCAAGTTTTTTCGCCGGTAGTCATTTATTTCAAAAATGGCTTCATTTTTAGAAATGGCTAGAACGGCACTCCTATTTCTAGAGAATATTCAGAATGCTGATTCCGAATATACGGTGTGTTTTTCAGATTTTTTTTTGTTTGCGAATTGATGCAAACGCATGTACATTAGGATGTCCATCGAAATTCTTTTTTTTTTTTTTAATTTCCAGACCCTACTCCCTAATAACGGTCCTTTTTTTGAGAAATAGTTTTACCTAATTTTATGAATTCCTTAGCCACACTGCTCAAAAAATCTGAAAGTCTAGTACATAAACACATACAAATTTAAGGCCGAATTTAAGAAAAGTCGGCTTACTTCGACAATTTGTAAGCGATTGCAATAAGTGAAGTATCAGTTTATTTGAAAATAGATTGAATTTTAGATAAGACTGCTTATTTTAAAATTGTGCAAATAAGTGATTGTCAAAGTTTAAAAAAATAAGGAAAGATGTTATTTTTTAATTAGCCCAATGAAAAATCCCGACAATCCAAGTCTGGCAATAGATTATTTATTATATACATCATTCTAAAGGCCTATACATCCTCTTCTCATAACATGTTCGATCTTTAAATTGAATAAAAACTAGTCATTCAAAAACTAATAAATCTATAAAACCATGTTTTCAGACCTAAAATGACAAGTCGCGACCTCTAAATGATTTTTGAAAAATCTATAAAAATAGGCAATAATATTTCTCATAAAAAGGAATGAAATTAGGGGGTTGGGTCTTGAAATAAAAAATAATAATTTCGATGGGCACTCTAATGTACATAAATATATGAAAAAGTGTTAAAAGACCAGTCAACTTAAGATCGAATTCAGAGAAAAAGTTGTTTTCTAATAACAATTGTTCCATGGTATGGCTATGGAAACCTACTGAGTGTAAAATATTCCCATAAAAATGTAAATTTTTCAGGGTACGAAAATAAACTGTACAAAACAATTCCCATTTCCTCATCGATCATCATATCATTTGTGGTTTTGTACAGTTTTGTAAATAGTCAGAAACAAATTGTAAGATTCACTGTCATTTTCCCCAACGAGAAACGTTTGCTTTTCGTTTGTGACAATTGTACCATAGGGTACGTTTTATGTGTATGCAAACGTTTCAATTACGTGAAAAATAATTTTTTCTGTAAATTTTCATATCCAATTCAATTAAAAAACATTTTTATTTTTTTTATTCATTGCAGCCATTCGTTTTGGATTTGTTTATTGCATATATGTGCATACATAAATATATTTTCCCTGCACGATTCATTTCGTTTGTTGTTTCGTCTGTAACTACTAAACTACTGTAGTGTACTATCGCCAAAGTGAACTCAGCCGTTTTGTTTCGTATTGTACCGAACTGTTAAAGTAATAAACGAAACGAAATAGTAACGTACAATATAGTTTATTTTCGTACACTGAAATTTTTATAAGTATTTGTCATTTGGATTCAGCGAAAAATTGAGACACAACCGAAAGATTTTAATCTACCTCGTGTAGTTCAACCGCCGTTATTTATACAGTACTTAGTTAAAAATACCGGCAGAAAAAGCTATATCAATTTAACTAAAAATGAATATTCAACAAGCGTACTATGCTCCAAGATGCGGCCAACACCCAGCATGACACCACTACTGCCTTACAACTAACTGGCTGGCAACCTTGTGAGTAGCGTAAGTAATCACTCATTCAAGCGGCATATTGGAGTGCTAGTCGACATGACTTTTCATTAGCCGAACACCCGCTGGTATTGCCATGACTTGTCAAGAAACGATACATATATTTTTAGTATTTTAGTTACATACGTATGTATGTATGTATA